TAGGAATAAGCAGCGGATTACCAACTGATGAGCGTTTGTGAATGGATAACGAAACATTGGTGATGGCTTGGCAAAGTGAGAAACGTAGTTAAGGTCCACAATGGATAGTAAGTTGTCGAGAGACATGATAGCTCACATCCAATAGAGAACAATTACACAGAAGAAGACTATTAAATTCTTCTTAGTAGGATGGAAGACTTTTCGACATAGAGTCCGAGATTAAGGTTACGTTTCAAACATTATGCTCTTGCTAACGGGAAATTACAGTTACTTCAGGAGAAATTGGCAAATTCTCGTGCCTTTTAGACCAGTTTTCTTTTATATACAGTATGCCTTCATTTTGTATGCAGTCATTACTTTCGATAAAGTCTTATCCGTTATAGATTTTGTTTGTCTTCATGGTATATTTACATATCACTGATAGCTAATCATTTACAGTTCCTATTTCTTTTAATTATTTCAACGAAGAAAGGCGCAAATGCCATCAGTACGAGGGGATTTACAGGAAGGGAAAGTGAGAGAAAAGACTGAGTTCTTTTGACTGCTAATGTTTTGTCCTTTCCTCAATCCTCCTTATGGAGGATTGAGGAAAGGACAAAAGATGAATGGGAGGATAGAAGATGGCGATTGACGTTGGATTTAAAATTTTGAAGATTATAATTACTAGGGGGCCGAGTAAATGGAGGGGAGTTCCACAGGTGGGAAATGCGAGAAAATAAACTCTCGTAGAAGCGACTGTTGTATCTAGTAAGTTCAACGATAAACGTGTGGTACCTAGATGCTCATTTAGTAGCACTCTTAAATTCATGTAGTCGGCGTGTCAGGGAAATAAGAAGGCTTGCCAGATTAGTTCTCATAAAAAAAATTGGGTAAACTAACGCAGGAGCACTTGACCAGATATGGTGACAGTATTCAATACACGGACTAATGGTAGATTTGTAAATGTGTAAGATTTATTTTAACGAGAATATATTAGACTAAACATTCTGGTAAGACATAGTGACCCAAATTTTCTTTGAATAAATGCTGTTATTGATTCGATATACTGCATATTCTATGACATGTGGCTGTCAAATACCCGTTTTTCTTCATTATGTGCCCTAAAATTTTGATTTGCTTATTTCTTATTCAATTATCAATATGCTTCTTCTTAAAATTTTCGCTAAAATATCATCGCTAGTGAAATTCTTTGCCTATGGTAATCTCAATATCTTTCGGCAGAACAACATCCTTTTATATCAAATCTTCTATGTTCAGATATTACTGCCATATAGGGGAATATATTTTGCATCGAAAGTGAACATTTTTTTATTTGTTACTTATAAATCTTCCTGTTTTTAGCAGTTTGCATAACTTTTGGAATGTGCATAATAGTTATTTTCCAAGCGTAGCTTAGATGTGGCACAAGGCCGAAATTATAGGGCACCTAGTGAGGATCGAACTCACTACTCAGTCGTAATTGATCTAGCGAGACAAGCTTGCTAACCATTACACCACCTCGAGGTGCCCTTGGAATGTGCATAATGCGATTCAGTTGCACCATCGGATATTTATGTCATATTTCTCTCCTTTTTAAAAGCAATTCCTATGTATTTAAATATTTGTACTTGTTTAGCTCACATCCTGGCTTGTTTCTCTTGCTAACAACCATTTATTCTGTTTTTTCCACAGTTTATAGCTAGCTCTTTCTTCCCGATTTGCTTCAATCCTGTGACGTTTAATAGATAGCGATATCAATCAGAGAGATAAAATTTAAAGTTTTCTTATAATATTATTCCAAAATTTCAGCACGTCAGCAGATAGCTCTTAATGTCAACAACTGAGCACAAATAATTATTAATTAAAATATATAATAATTAATATATAATATTATCCATAATCACATGTAAAAGAAGGTGGTTTTTAATAAAAGTTAAAAAAAATCCGTATATACGTAAAACAATGCGTATATTTACGAAAATTACTTTTTCCACAGTATAGATATTTGTGTTATGTTGTAATGCGTATCACTTAATAATAATAATACTGAATAATTTTTTGAAAATATTAAAGTTTATTTAATCACATCTTCTTGTCGTGTTCTGTGAATAATTTGAAGAAGAGCTGAAATAATTAATTAATATTTAATATTATCCGAAGGCTATTGCGAGCTCAGCATAGCATTCTTCAGAATAAATGCAACAACCGAACTCATAGTTATGCAAAAATACAAATGCTCTATGAAGATAAGTATCTAACGGAAGAAGTTAGCCCAAATTCGATCATGTCATGTAGATAGGGTAGATTCTGGTATTATACGAATGAATTGATGGATATTCAAAGAAAGCGACTTCATTTGATATCTACCAATATCATTATAGATTTAGATTGAAATGAACATTGTAAAAATACCATGTAACGTTCGTCTTCTATGTGCAGTTTCTTTGCAGGAGTTGAACGTTCATGGCTCTCCACAATTTCCAGTCCTTTTTAGCTCTTAGTATATTCTATCATTTCGCAGTTCATTCTAATTCATGCTCTGACAATCACCTACACAGCCACTTTACGTAGGTGATGCGCTGTTTTACACCAACTGTCTCCTGTCAGTGTCACATTTTATAAATCCTCTTTTTTCATTATGCTTTGTGTATATTTAAGCTGTCTATTTCTGATGTTAAATGTAAGTATTCTTTTTTCGTTTCAACTATGTACAAATTATGTAAAATTGCTTACATGTTCAGTCTATGTTTGCCTCAGAAATCCTTCCATATAACCACGTTTCATTTGCCTCATGTCTGTTTTTCTTTTGTGATGAGATTGTTCACTATTCACTGCCATGTAGAAAGACCGGTATTGCATAATAATTAAGTATTATTTTCTTTGTTTTTAACGAGATTTTCCTCTTTCCTAATACATTGCTTAGATTTTGGGAGTCATCTTTCGCTATCCTAATGCACCTACGGATTTCGGTGTCGTATTTTCCATTCTCCACTAAAACATTCCCTAGATATTTAAATTTTTGGACTTGCTTGATTTTGGTACTTCTATTTTTAATTTGCATCTTGTGTTTTCCTTTTTTTTAAGACCACCATAGATACTGTCTTCATACAATTGATAAGCGATTGTTAAAAAATGAGAAAAAAATAAGAAAACTCGAGGGTTTGTATTTGCATTTATTTGTCTGATATCAACAGTGACTCATCTGCATTATGTTGTTAAATCTGTGGCCGTTAATAAATAATCATGGTAAGATGTCTAAATGTCGCCAAATCACCTGATTGTATAGTTTGAATAAGTCTGGTGAAAAGACAAATATTTGTCTTACATTCGTTTCTGTTTTTATAATATCTGAATTTGTATTTATTTTCCATCGATATGAAGTCGGTTTGCTAGAAAATGTGTTCTGGGTTATTCTAATACCTTTCAAAATATATCAATGCCACTTACCACTTCCAACAGTTCTATGTGACGTACTCCCTCAAAAACTTTTACATAAACTACAAAACAATGATATCAACACATTTCCATTAGTATATCACTCTAGGCATAAATATCGTATTCCTTATCCGCTGTCTTTAGAATTTAAAATTATGGCGATACATAAATTTAATATTATTTAATATTTCGATGAAAAGTTACGGTAAAGCAATTAGTCATCCTTTTAAACAATTATATATTTGATATTAAACTAGACAATTTGTGGGTATTTCAGATTGTAGGAATTCTTGATATTTTTCACACGATAGTATACACTGATATTACGAAGAACCCGTAGTCAATTAACTGACACCCAATTCCAAGCGATTGGCGTAATGATTACTTGTGAAGAGAAGGAACTGCATGGATCGAATTCTAATTCTCAGTGTGACAGCTTGCGTTCACTTAGCCGTCTTGCATTTGGCAATGCCATTAATACATCTGGCATCCCCATAGGCATGGATGAAATTGTATGACAGACCGGACATTTAGCATAACACAACTAGAAAAAGGGAAAAAAAAAATTAAAATAGGCAGCGTCAGCTATCCTGATATAGGCGCATCATTTATTGCATTAACTGCTTCGATTAAAGTACATGTGAAAACGCAAATAAGAAGAATTTAAAAAATAATTCCAATTACAACAAGCAGGTATAAATTTAGAATAATCATATAATGATATATATTTAAATGATATTTATAATAAAACTCGTTGTTAAAGATAAATATCCAATACAACAGATCCGTGTGAACATAAATAGTTCACACCTCTTATCAAAACATTTCTGTATAAATAAGAAAGTCCAAGAAAAATGTACACTATTTACATTATTCGGACTATTGTCCTCATCTTTGTCGCCATATTTATTACAACTTTTCGGCCGTTGTACGCTCCGGCCTTCTTCAGGGTTTTGGAATGTCGAATTTAACCATTTATTTCGCTCACTGGGGTACACTGTTCTAGTTCCACGTGCCGTGTCTAATGGATGTATGTTGTCAGTTCTCCTGTTAATTCACCTCCCCAAGGTCTCCACGGCCTTAACCAAAACTGACAATATTTTGGTTCTGTTACTGGATCTAACTAACGCCTTTATCCACTGCGTCATATGTCCTTGAGAAAATCTGTGCGTGATTGCCTGGCTAATATGTCGACACAAATGGGAACAATAGTCCGAACAATGTAAATCGTGTACATAATGCCTCATCTAAGATATATAGACAGATACCTAAGACAATATGATTTCTCAAATACAATAATTGTCCTTATTTATTGTCCCTTCTTAATATATGTGCATAATTGCCGTGAAAATATAATCTCTCAGGCAACAATTTAGGTATTAAATTCTGGAATCATAAACAGGCAATATAGGAAATTATGATCGGATATTATAAACGATGCCAAATGGCGATTCACCGAATTTCCCTTCCATAACCCGGCGGGTAGCCCTACGGTAAACTAGAGCTCCGTTCCGAGTAGGTGGGGGATATGAATGCAAAGATAAAAATTAACGGAACTGACGGAAGGCACCACCAGGAGTGGAGCCTCAAGGCTCAATTTGATTCAACACGGGAAATCTCAACCGGTTCGGACACCGAAGGATTGTAGGATTGACAGATCGATAGCTCTTTCTCGATTCGGTGGGTGGTGGTGCATGGCCGTTCTTAGTTGGTCGAGTGATCCGTCTGGTTGCTACTGATAACGTATAAAAGATACCAATAGACGAGCTCTTGAAAAAAAAAAAAAACAACTTTAGCAGATTTTGCATGTTCTTCCATATATAAACATCTGTGTGCTTCATTTTATCTTTTGATTAACAACTAATATATAATAAATTCTTTTCGCACTGATCACATAAATACTTTTCCGTTTTCCATTACTTTATTAACCAAAGTATCTTTTATATATATATATATATATATATATATATATATATATATAAATTCAAACATGTTTAATTAAATAACAATTAAAAAGTCGAAGAGATGGAATGCTTTAAATACATATAAATACATATACATACTCAAACACAACTTTCCCCCTGAACATAGACTCAGATTGAAAGTACGTGGGAAAGTAAAGACTGTACTAAATAAAACTCTGGTATTTTTCTTACTCAATTTTCTAAATCTACCAAAAAGTTAAAACACGAAAGGTTTTCGACAAGATATGTGTTAAGTATTTGACCAAACATTTTTGAAGTAAATTGTGCTAAATTTACACAATATATATATATATATATATATATATATATATATATATATATATATATATATATATATATATATATATATATATATATAGCATATAAACATCCTCTGTAGCTAACTAATTTCTATTGTCAGAGCGTAAATTCTAATTTTGCGCTCAAAAGATTTTAATAAAATGACCGGGTAGAAGAGTGAACCAGACGATAGGCAAATTTATGGATGTTTATTGATGGAGAAGTAATATGAATAAACTCTCTGAGTTTAGGTGGAGACATAAGAAATATATATTTATAGTAGAATGTAAAATGGGATCAGAAACTCAAACTTAAACTAGAAACAATGCATAAACATCTAAACTTGTACGAAAAACCGGAGAGGAAATAATCTTATATTCAAATTGTCATTTTTCTAAATTCTTCCAATTGGTAAGTTCAATTTTTTTTTGTTATTAATATGTACTTTGTTTTCAGAAATTCATTTCATTATTGCCTTGAAAATGTCCACATTGAACGAAACGTGTTGGCTAATATTACAGTATTCATATTGTCTTTTCTACAGGTTAACTCTGAGATATTTTCTAATACGTACATACACACACACACACACACACATATATATATATATATATATATATATATATATATATATATATATATATACCAACATACACTGTAATGAAACCATGTTGCTGTGAACAACTGACATGTCAGAAAACTTAGACACGATAAAAATCTCGAACTAGAAAAGAAAAAAAAATCACCTGCCTTCATAGGAAAATAAAATGATCAACGACCAGATTACATCAACAGAGTAAAAAAGGTTTCACAAGCTAAGGACCAAACAAAAGGCAGTCTCTGACGTTACAGGGGTTTCATGCTCTCGCCACTTCAGACAGCATAAGCATCTCTCTCTCTCTCTCTCTCTCTCTCTCTCTCTCTCTCTCCATATCTATCTATCTATATATATATATATATAAATATATATATATATATATGAAAAAATAAAGTCGTAATGTGTGCTATATTTATAGGATAAAGTTCTCAATATCAGAGATTGAGCGTGTTTAAATATAAAAGTGAACATTGAAGTCAAGACTTAGAGGCGACAGTCTGTTTCATCCTAGACGCAATCATAGGGCCACGAGTGTTGCCTTTTTCTCGGCTATTTATATATCCGGATCAGTGCTGCATTGTGGGTTGTCTATTTTGGCGGTTATTTTGCCGGAAGTCGTTTATTTTATTTATTTATTTGGGTTAAATTATTTTATTTGTCATTATTTATTTTTAATTTATTTTTATTTCTTATCTTATATATTTACTAGCAGTAGAGCCCGGCGTTGCCCGGGGATATAACAGTGAGAGATAGATCAAGTATCCACCATCATAAAGACTGAAAAATAAAATTGACAAAGATTATTGTTTAAGGTTGACGGACACGCATCTCTTAATTAGTTTTTTTTTTTACGAATTGGTCAAACCCAAACTCAAACAAAAAAATTATTTTCAATCGTTATGAGTTTCTATCGATTGAATAGAATTTTATTATAAACAATTATCTTGTAAATGGAATTTCTAAAGCATTATGAATGTAAAAATAAAGAAAAAAGTGTGCAAGACAATAAGAAACACTACATGCCAAAAAAAAGTGAAGTTTTGTTGAAATCGGTTGAAAAATGTAGGTAGCCTTTCTGTAATCTTTTAGTTTTACAATTTATGATTTTTACTTATTGAATACAGTAATAAAAATTGCATATTTTCCTTGTGGTGATTCATCATTAGAATTCTGATTTGAATATATTTTCCAATCGTTGTTTCTAATACAAAAAATATTAACTTTATTTGGGTTTATTAATTATGATCTAACAAATCGTATTCATTTAGTAGTCTTTCTGTAATAATAATCTTTTACAATTTATGATTTTTACTTATTGAATACAGTAAAAAAATTGGACACCATGTGTATTTATAGTAGTTTCCCGTTCCGGATATTATTTTTAGTTAGGACTTGTGTATGTTTAGATTTCATTAATTTCCCTAAAGATAAAGAATTTATCCGATGTTTGTATTCGCACAATCAGGAGAGATCGTTAGATTATTGTTTACGGTTGACGGACACGCATGTCATAATTAGTTTTATTTTTTTTAAATTTTTTTTTTACGAATTGGTCAAACCCGAACTCAAACAAAAACATTGTTTTCAATCGTTATGAGTCTCCTGATTGAATAGAATTTGATTATAAATAATTGTCTTGTAAATGGAATTTTAAAGCATTCTGAATGTTAAAAATAAAGAAAAAGTGTGCAAGAGAATAAGAAACACTACCTGCCAAAAAAAAAATGTGAAGTTTTTGTTTTATCAGCTGAAAAATATAGGAAATATTTAAAGGAGGCCACACACACAAACAACCAGATGTGAGTTGTCCCGCTACCATTTTCACGATGTCTCTTAATCGTGTTTTCAAATTGATTTTGTACAAAAACAATTATATTTTTCACATTCTGGGCGCTCTTAGAACCACCACAAGGTAATTTTAAGTAGTCCAGTGAAGTTTTGTTGAAATCGGTTGAAAAATGTAGGAAATCCGATCCAATATATAAACGTTACAGACACACACACAATCTGCTTTTTATAATAAGTAAGATATATTTTTTATTTTTATTTTCATTCGGTGTAAAGTGATCTTTTGTCAAATTCCTTAAGTTGATCATTTTTTTTAAGTTTATAACAATCCCATATATACGTTTGAATTTATTTAATTCATTCTATTTATTCGGATAAATAGCTTATCCTATCATAAATCAAGTCTCGATTACTTGATCAATTTTATCTACAAGTAATTTTCGACATCCCGAAATAGTTAAAAACACAAAAAAGTACAAACGTTATGTTTCACGGAAGCAAATAAATTACAAAGATAGATAGATAGATAGATAGATAGATAGATAGATAGATAGATACTGAAAGAATAATAGATGAAATCAATCTACCAGATGCAAAAGTATATTTAATCTTCCAGTTAAATGTTTTGGGCATATATATATATATATATATATATATATATATATATATATATATATATATATATATATATAAAAGAAATAGATACAACTCCTTAAGGGGCATGTGAACTCGAATTCATATGTCGCTTCCAGGTCAAACAAAGCTAAAAAAATAATGATACTACAATTATATTGGTCACACTACATCATGAAATTCTAGACGACTCACGTTACACCTATATGACAATAGCTCAATTTTCACCCATTTAAAGACGCACGGAAATTTAACAAATTTCATTCTCAGCTAACTCGTAAAAATTACAAGTATAATAGTCTCATGCAGTTATAAAAATTATTAATAATGAAGTCCTAATAGTTAAAATGAAAAATCCAACAATAAATAAGGTTAACTATGAACACTGATACAAATGTCTACAAATTCTGATTCATACATAAAATAAACACATCTAGTGAAAACTAAAATTGTCGATGATAAAGTCGAAAAGTATTGTCGAAAGTACTCGGAAATGAATTATCAGTCACCTTTAATGGATATCTACATCTCTCTCTCTCTCTATATATATATATATATATATAAGCAAGTGTAAATGGATATAAATCCGACAGAATGAAGAAATTTTGAAAAACAAACAAAAATCCTTAACTGTAGTTAAATGAATGAAACTACAGTTAAGGATTTTTTATTCAAACTCAAAAATTTCTTCATATATATATATATATATATATATAAGTTTAGCATATCCATATTACAGACGCTAGCTCAGGCACATTAGGGTGTATTCAATATCCACGGAACCCACCAATGATTTATATGCAACTATGTTGAGCAAACCTTACTTAGAGTTTATGGGAGAGAGTGTGTTATCTAACGTGATCAGCAATCTGAACAAGAATCGGTCACAATGACTTGTGGCTTCGTGCTAGCACAGCTATCGAAGGCTCCAAATGGAACGTGAATCCAATTTCACTCATTAAGCTTTGGTCAACCCGTGGTTTAGTTTTCATGCACTTTCCAAAGCTGCCGCACGCAGGGGCTATCTATCTATCTATCTATCTATATATATATATATATATATATATATATATATGATTTCCGACATGTGATATTTTGTTCTTATTATCGCTGTTTTTTGGGCTACTTTAATCGGAAATATTTTCAGGATTGTTAGAGCAATTTATTTTTTGAGAGTAAGTATTCCATTAATAATATTTTGTCGATAACAATACATTTTCAAGATATTAAACCTCCTATCTGATCCATAAATCTGGGGAGAAGAAATGTATTCATACCTGAATTCAATTTGTGCATGTGTGTGTGAGAGAATGTATGTATATATATAAATGTATTTTTTAACGAATGCTCGTATTTGAATAGACGCACGGCTTATTTATTATGTAATATTTATTTTCATCTACGTGTTGTATATTCAAGAAATCTTAGAAAAATATGGGCCCTTTGGCAGTATTCGAATCCACGTTTCCCGAGGGAAAACCGTCTTTAGATCTAAGGTTCTTTGACCTCTCGGTTATTTGATGGCCAAGAAATGTGCCCAAAGAGTTTATGAAAAAGCCCTCAAAGATAGTGGATTTTAGGTAACTTTCGCATAACACAATGTGTACCACAAAACTTGTAACAGGAAAAGATGCATCATACTTTTAAAACCACCGTGCAGCAATGACGTAAAAAACACCGTAAGAAAATATCGATTACGCTCATATCAAACAATTTTCCTCACCTAGCATTCTTTGCAATTCTTCAATAGAATCCAGTAAAAAGTATCTGCACCGAGTTGCACAGAGAATATGACGAAATAACACTATTCAAAAAACCACCCTCACAAATCAAAATCACTTTTAACTGCGGCGTAACTAACGCTTCTCCCTTAAATTGCAATTGCTTACAAAAGAATATAATATACCAAGCCACTGTAAAATCAGCAATTAAAGAAAAATATACACAGGTGGAAATGACGCAATGTGGAAACAGAGATACTACACACGCAAAACATAATCTACTAAAAATTAAATGTGTGAACAACTGAATGCTTTCTATAATATATGGGAATTAAAAACAAAAACAGAATTATAGGAAAAATATCACTGACAATAAGGAAAAGAGCATCAGCCTACAACAATAAATCACAAAAGTTTAAACTATACCAGGACGAGAAAAATAGCTAGAATACCTTCCCCAGACAAACACAATATGGTAAATAAACGACCATAACTTGTATCAGTCAACAAAACAAATGTCTACTACGTACACGTAAAGTACAAAAACTAAAAATCAAAGTAAGAAACATAAGCAAAAAATAAAAATAATAAAGCCAGACCCCGTGTATATAATCTGTATAAATAATAAACAAATTATGTAAATAATAACGAAATTAACAAACCACAAATGCACAAGGAAATGTAATAATAAGTATCAATAAGAAACAATTAAGTAACGAGCATAATTTTAAATACACTATAAAATAACTACAAATAACTGCATTCAAATCCACAATTTCCTACAGAATGGTCTATAGTGTAGTGTCTATGCAATAACCTTTATGATAACTCAATAGGCTTCGCTGTACATAAAGCTCGATTGATCAGCATATATGTATAGTCGATACAAAACACATGCCGTGAATATTGCGTTCAAAATACAAATACATGCATACGTATATATATATATATATATATATATATATATATATATATATATATATATATATATATATATTAAATAAACCCTCTCTAAACTCATATGTCTCTCAAACCACTCCTCATTACCCCCTCTGTTAAATTACCAAAAATTACACTACCCATAAATTTTCATTTCATTTTGTTTGTTTTATCTTTTGGAAGAGCTATCTGATGATCCAGACTCATTTAAAAGGGCTCTGGGGAAATAAATTATTATAATGGAAACTTTATATAGTCTGTTTTTCATTAAAGCTCTTGATTTACATTGAGCTTGGGACTGCCCATACTGATTACCAAGTTTTTCATAACTATATAACTATATATATATATATATATATATATATATATATATATATGCACACAAACATATATATATATATATTCATACATGTTTCAATAAATAATATAGACATGTGTTGTTTATTTTATTTTATGTAAATTCTTTTCATAACGTCTGATAACCTTAATAACATTATCATTATGCGAAGAAAGAAAATCACAATATTGATCCATATGTTTTAAACCAATCTAAGATTTCGGCTTACATAAGCCATTATCAAAGATGCCAAATACTGTACAACATATTAAGCAATATACGGATAAGACAGTGATGATAGTCTGTGATTGTTTACATGGATGATTTCATATATATATATATATATATATATATATATGTGTGTGTGTGTGTGTGTGTGTGTGTGTGTGTGTGTGTGCATATATATATATATATATATATGGAATGAGAGAGAGAAAGGGAGATAGAGAATGAATGAGTCAAACCCCGCTTAATCGCTCTTCGGCATTCGCGGTCCCTGTTATTCGTTCTATTTTCTTTAGAACGTAACTATTTACTGTCCGTGGAACCTCTACATGTTCGCGGAATAGCAAATGTCTTATGGGTTTTTTTTTCCCTAAAATATATAGGTTTTACGCTTTTTATTCCAAATTATTAATAACCAAATAATTTACTTATTTTGTAATAGATATACCTACATAAATCCAGCAAATATATCATTATAAAATAAACACTTTTGCTGAGGTTTGAAAGTAGCGAATATATGTGACGGTTACACACCTGGCCCAGGGTCGAATCCCTTGGTTACGGCGCCAACTGTGACGTCGCTCCTCCTGGTCGCTCCTCCTGGTTCAAAGCGTGCCGCTCCAACCCCTTGGTTGGATGATCACCAGCCTCGCCTTTCCCAACTCGCTTCCAATACCTGGTTACTGAAGCAACTGTACTGATCTCCGGTCTGTCTACCCACGTTGTGTTTAGATCTTAGACAGACAGGACCAGCAGGGATTGGGGCCGATACAAGTTGAGTCCGACAGGGGTGGCAAAACACAAGTAAAAAAAAAAATAAACTCACGAGACAAAAAAGATTGCTGATGAAAAAAAAAAAACTAACAACCTTTTATATCTTAATGTCCGCTACATAAAAACAAAATTGTTCTCAATTCCCGACCCGCTCTGTGGACTATGGCACAAGCTTCTATCACACAACCTAAAGATTTCAGATTGCCTACTCTTTAGAATTGTGTATGTCGGAGTGTGGTTTGGTTCGACACTGGGGCTAATTTCTATCGATCATTCGCAGTTGATTCTTCTCTTCGACTTGAGTTGTATTTCTTCTTCTTCGTCGACTTAGGCTGGAAGTTCTCTTGTCTTCGACTTGGGCTGGAAGGATCTCTTGCCGCAACTCAGCCGCAACTCTCTGTCGTCCGAGGTGATCTCTTCTCGCTGCCGTCCGGGGCTGAACTCTGCCGTAACTCTGCCACAACTCTTGGCGTCCTTCGAGCAATCTCCTTCTTCGTCTGCTTGGGCTGGAAGTTCTCTTGTCTTCGACTTGGGTGGAAGGATTTCTTGTCTGAAGATTCTCTTGCCCGCAAAGGGGCGAGTGAATCGGGCCTGATGCCCGCGTTCAGGCTCTTTCCCTGCCCGCGGTCCAGCTGCAACTCCACTCCAACTGATTTCTGTCGACTGGGGTCCTGCTTCTATTGACGCCGCAACAAACTGGGGTGGTCTGTCGGCGTCAGGGTTTTTCTCGATAATTCCAAAAGTCGCATTATTTCTGTCTTCTCATTATCGCTATTGTTTTCACCCCTACTTCCTCCACAGTGCCCTTGGTGGGGAGGCGCACACCCATCTTTCCCGGTCCCTCGTATGTCAGGTGACCGCTCTCGACCAATGATTCCTGATCGAGCACTTCTTTCTCTTCTTTCCGCAGATCACGTGACCGTTTCCGACCAATTGTTATTGATCGAGCATCCT